TACCTTTCAATTCCGTCATTACGTCATTGGTAATTATAATGAGGTCACGGGGAGTATATATAGGAAACTCAACCAACTTATCTTACCCTAAGGAATTCTTCTCCTTGTCACCATCTTTTCCATTAAAGGCACATTCTTTCTTCTACTCATCCTTGAAACCTTTTTCGTCATCAGAGTCTTCATCGTCAAAAGACTCAGACTCCTAAATAAAAGTAGGATTTTAAAATGGAGCAGTGGCTGAAAGCATCACAACTTCAGAGGAAGAAAGGGAAAGAAAAGACCTCTTAGAGGAAAAGGTGATGCCAACAAGGGTTGATCAAGGAGGAATAGAAGAAATGACAAGGGCATTTATGGGTGAGAGAGCAAAAAAAGATGAAAATTGATTAAATTGGATCCCATAAGGGGGAACAATCGAAGATGAGAAAAAATCAATCGTAGAAGATAGACTAGTCTAAAAGATAAAGAAATGAGGTGGATTTTTCATATTAAAATTTATTTGAGCATATAGCTCCTCCGTACTCAAGACCCACTATTTTTTTACCCAAGCATTCTCATCATTCTGTCGCTGCCTTTCCTTAGATATGGAGTTGAGCCAATAAGTGCTCTTGTGATAGTCTTGATCTTCGATAATTGATGGGATTAGGTCATCGTCATATTGTCATGGCTGACCCCCCTAGGCTTTACCCTAAAACTACCAACCTCTTCAGAACTTAAACTAAAAAAGATGATGAAGAAAAAACGTACTGAAAAAAGTGAAAAGTGCATATGAAAATAAAAGAACAATAAGGTCAAAAAGAAGAAAAGCTTATGAGGTCAGAAAATCTAGATCAAATGGAGAGAAAAAATAGAAATACAAAAAATGAAAGCCTCAAAGCCTTTTATATAGCCGTGCTTCATACCAGACAAGTGGCTCAAATTGTACCACATGTCGAGAGTCATTGGAAGACGTGTTTTCACATTTCCTACTCTAAATTTTACCACCTAAACTATCTCTCTCCTCATTTAATACAACTTTAACTGCCAGACCTGATTAGATCGTTTAGATCGGATGGCTCATTGGATAGAACCAACCAAGTGAACTGAGGGTCAATTCATCATCAGAATTTAAAATAAGGACTCAAATCTAAAATTATGGAAAAATGTTTAACTCCTTTATCAACTAGATGAGCTCACATCCTAATATCAGATCATACTAGACAAATGACACCTTGACAACTTTCAAATTAGTCGTGCATTCAACCCAAAGCACACACGCAAGATTGGACTCTCGGTAGAATGGCTCATACCACCTCACCTTGAACTGTAAGAAAATGCCAATTCTCTTAATGCAGATCTCTGTGTTAACCTCAACCATAAGAGATCATATATCTCTTCCCTTACTTTTTTTTAAGTTGTCCAACCTATGTAAAATGAATTAATGGCATGCCCAACAGTCTAATATCCAAACTGCATGGTAGGGGAACAAAATATTGGGGACATTTAGTGGTCTGAAGGGCATAATGGTATTTTTCTTCATTAAGGGCCTTTGGTAGACAGCCAGGGGATTTTAGACATTTGTGCAGACCTAACATAATGCACTTAGTACCACATCAATTGAACTACGTCATTATTGTCCCCTATTGACCCATTATATCTCATCTATAAATATGGGCATCCAAACAATATTATGGCAGGTTCTTTTATCTCTTTCTTACCTTTTGATTTTTGATTTGTGCGTCGAAGTGCAAATGCAAAGAACACTTTCTACCTTTACGTCTGACAGTTCTCTTCCTTTTTTTTTTTTCAAGAATATCCTCACATTGAAACTCAATACAGACATTTTTCAATAACAAACAAAAGATTTCAACTTGTGACAACCAAGAAGATAGAGAAAAGGGAAAGTAAATAAATAAAAAAGGAAGGCTTTAGCCTACATTAAGAAGTTGATACCGGTCCAAAAGCCAAGGAAGAGATGCCTGGTGAATGCCAAAAAGCAATTGAAGACCGTTTGTTTATAGTCGTTTTCCGTAGAGTTTGCTTTGAAGAATGCTAGTGTTGCTTACCCACCTTTCTTTTTTTTTTTTCAATATGCTTTTAAGCTTGAGCCCTACCTTTTGATGCGGGGCTTGGGATGCTTCCTATGTCTTTCAAAAGGCTGAAAGCCACGAGGAATGAGGAATTGTTTTTGTTTGATTTGATTCAATTTTTTTGCATTTGGGCCATAGAAAAGTATTAAAAAGGGTGAATGGTGCATGATTGGATTTACCTGGAATGTTGGGTTTCCTTTTAATGAGTGGGAAGTTTCCTTTTCACTGGTCTGTTAGGTAGAAACAGCAGCACTAAGATTGGATTGCCATATGTAATCCCCAAAATATGTTTAAGGAATCAAAGTGGACCTTTGTACTGATAATGTTGTAGCTGATCAACTAATTCTAAATGATGTCAAAATGCTTGATTAGTTAGTGTAAAAATACCAGCTAAATGTGAACAGAGAAAGGTGCCTAAGATTTTCAAGTAACTTCACCGCTGAAGTAGATAAATGGGGTAAACGTGAGGTGAAATGTAGACTTTCTTATAATCTGGTTGAATTCAAACAGTTTTTGTATCTTCCAAGGTGGTCCAGTTAACTGATGTTTGTCTTGAAGGGATTCTTCATCAATTAGTTGTGTTTTTTTTAACTATACTTTTTTTAATATTTAAAACAATTGAATTTAACATAAAAGTTCTTTTAAAAATGCAATTTAAAAAGTACTTATGTGTTTATATAGTATAATTTAGTGTATGAATATGATCCCTTTGATTTTTTTTCTGGTTATGTCACTGTTCGTCACCGAAAATTCCAATAATATGGTTAAAGTTGTTAAAAACCAATTTTACAATAACAAAAACATATTTTTCATATATACATATATATATATTTATATATAAAAGAAATCGTTACAAAAACATTCTTTTAAATGACGCCCCAAATTAAATGACGCCAGAGCATTGCTTGAACCTATTTGGCTGTATCATGTTTATGAAACTGAAAGGTTTTATTCAAAGATGGAAGAATCGATGAGATCTTTTGTCAAATACTATATTCCTTGAATTTGTTAAACGCATCTGTTTTAACCATGCATAAACAGTAGATGGCTTTAGTCAGTTAAGAGTTAAGGAAACTCAAATTTCTAGGCACATGAAAATTAAATGAAGTCAAGTCATTTTCATGAAATTTTATAGCCACTCTGTCGAAGCAGATGAAATTTGAGAGAAATGGTATAAAGGTTCTCATCGTTGACCCCAATATCACAATCGTTACATGAGCTAAGTGCAGGACTTGGTCAATCTCTTTTTCAAAATGATAAGGAACTCCTAGGCATTGGATTACATCAATCAACTTAAGTTTTTCCAAAGGTTCATGAACCTGATCAGCCATTTGCATCGTCTTCAATTCATTCTTCGTCTTCTGATGTTCTTCCTCATTATCATGATCATCCTCGTAAAGTAATATGTCCAAAGAATAATTAACTATTGCAAATTTGTAATTACCATAATGTTTGAGGCATATAAGAGAAAATGGTCATCCCAGGTGCTGGGATGAAAACCTGCGAACGACACTGGATTTCATGCAGTTCAGCCTTTAGGATTGGAGCAGGAGTTGCTGCTGAAACTTCAACGGACGTTTTAAAGAACTGTTTTAAAAGAGGAAAGTGATTTCAGGCAGATCCTCTTATTTCTCCAGTCATGTTTGATTACCACGTTTGACAGAAAGAAAAGGAGGAAATTAAAAGAAGAAAAGATGTGAGACTCAGTTCTTGCATTGAACAAACGACGTGACGACCATCCAAATTCCCAACTTGCAAAATCACTTTGTTTAATGCCAGTTAGACAGGATAGTTTGAAATACATATAAAAATAATATAAATAAAAAATATAAAAATAACATAATTTAAAATTTTAAAAAATTATAAATACATTTAATAAAATAAAAAAATTATATTTTATATTTTTTATGAAAATATAAAATATAATATAAATATAATATTTTACATAATAAAATAACACGAATTATCAAATCTTACACCACTTGCAGCATACAGGCACATTACGATGTTATCCCCATAAATCCTGGCTCTGCTCGACCCTACATTCCATAGGCTCAGATAATTTAGTTCTACAGGCCCATCTAGGCCTGTGTCTCTTTAACAGTTTAGCCATCAGGGTCCAGTTTTAAACTAGCCAATGCCGATCCATAAAGCTTGATTGTTTGCAGCAGACTTGTAGACGTACCGTGAATTAGATATGATAATTGAGAAGATTTAGTCGGTTCAGATTTAGATCTAATTTGCTGTTAGACGATCCAATTTAAAACTTTTTGTACAAAAAAGATGTACTTTGAGGATTAAAAAAAGAAATTAAATTATTATTATTTAAATTTTAAATGTATTAAATATTTTTTTAAAAACATAATTTATAAATAAATTGAAGATCGGATTGGATACAAGTCAAATTTAAGAGTGCCTTAACTTTTCAAATTAAATTATAAATTTACTTACAACATGAAACATTTAAAGCAGAGTACGAAAAGAAATTGAAAAAATCAAACATTAATTTATTTGATTTGGATGGAATTTTTTTAATTCGGTTAGAATTAAATTTAAATATTAAATATATATTAAATTCATTTCAAATTTAAAATCAAAAATATAAAAAATTAAAAAAGCGGATGAAACCAAATTATATCATTTTATTACTTTTATATATTTTTTAAATTTTTATAAAATAAAAATAATTATTTTATATCTAAATTTATTTAAATATATTAAAAATTATATTAAAATAATATATAAAAAATCAATAAATTAAATTTTAAAAATCAAGAAATAAAACCAAATCATTAAAATTTAATTCAAATCTAATTGTACATAAATTTAATTTAAATTTAGATCAAATTTTAAAAATTTATACTTTTATATATTATTTAAAAAAATAACCAAATACAATCCGAAAACTTATTTTCCCGATCAAGCATAACACAAAAAAAACCCATGGAGTAAGGTCTGGATTTGATCATAATTTCAATCAAATCAACGGTCTAGAACACCCTAGTACCAAGAACGGTCACACCCCATAGTCATACTTAAAATTTTTGGCATTTTCCAGCCACCACTTAAAAAAAGAGAGACAAAAAAAAAAACCATCATCCTTCGATTCTGTTTCACCATTCTTTTTCTCTCCCAATTTCGCAGATCTTTCGCAGCCTTTTTTGCACACATGAGTAAGGGACCGGGACTCTTCGTCGATATCGGCAAGAATTCCAAAGGTAATTAAATCCTCCATCTCATTCGTTGTCCACCTTACGATCTTTAGACCAACAGCGAAATTTCTTCTTTGCGTTTAATAATCGAATATTCATCCTTCTTTTTAATTATGTATTTTCATTTCTTTCTTTTTTGAATGCTTAGATCTCTTGACCAAAGATTATACGTCGGATCAGAAGTTCACTGTTTCCACCTACACTGGCGCTGGAGTGGTGTGTCAATTTTACGCCTTGAATTTTAGATATGTTTATATAATAGCTAGGGCTTGATAGATTATTCTATAAAATTGAATGAAATGTCAATTTGGTTGCTTAGATTTTTTATCAACTGATTTTGCATTCCCTGCAATAAAGTGTTCAGATTAATGCAAATACAGAATTTGTGGCTTTGGCTTATATATATATATATATATATATATATATATATGTCTATTCATGTTTAAATTGCTTCAAATAGCCAAAGAAAAGCTGAAAATTTAGAGGCATTTGCGAAATCAAGTTGCTTGTTCCTTTTATTTTTCCATTCAAAAGAATGGGGAAAAGAATCTGTCTCAGGATTTCCCTGTATTTCTCATGAATCAGCTTTATCTTTGGACTCAAAGATTGTGATAGTAATAGTTCCTTGGAGTTTATGTACATTTTTTCATTGTTCCCAAGGTATTATTGGGTGAAGCTGTGTGTAACTCCAGATGAGACTTGTTTTCATTATAAATGGATGTTTTTGGTTGACCAAAAGTTTTTATTGGAAAGGAGTTTAGATGCAGTTTAATCTCGTTCTATGCTTCCTCCTTCTCAAGGCTTTTTAATTGTTGAAGGGGGCTGGTTTTAACTTTGATGTGTCTGCCAAAATGAATGAACCTTCATGTACTCTATGTTAAGCTAGATCCTCATGTTTGAGGAAACGATTACATGAGGACGAGATTCTCTTAAGCTAATACATTCCACAGGTCTTCATCAGTTCATTCTGCTAATTCCTTTTCATCTTCTTCAATTCAGGCCCTCACTTCAACTGTCCTTAAGAAAGGAGGACTTTCTACCGGGGATGTTGCTGCACTATACAAGTACAAGAACACTCAATTTGATGTCAAAGTTGGTACTGACTCTAACGTGGGTTCTTAGTCCCATTCTTCGGAAATTATTAAATTACAAGTAACCTAATCCAGTTGAGTGTCTTACATTTTTACATTGTTTGTGCAGATCTCAACGACACTTTCATTCACTGAGATTCTTCCATCCACTAAGACTATTGTGTCTTTCAAAGTGCCTGATTATAACTCTGGCAAGGTAAGAAGTTGCCTCTCCTAAGCAGAAATCTTTTTCATGATGATGTTTTTGATGGTAAAATGTTTCTATCTGCTATTTATTTTTCAGTTGGAGATTCAATATTGCCATGACCATGCAACATTTACAACGACAATTGGTTTGAACCAGACACCAGGCGTTGATGTCACAGCAACGATTGGCACGCCCGCTATTGCTTTTGGTGCAGAAGCAGGTTATGATACCTTCTCTGGCAATTTTACAAAGTACACTGCTGGTATTAGTGTGACAAAACCAGATTCATGTGCTTCCATAGTTCTGTAAGCTTTTCTGCAATACCATATTTACTCTGCTTGATCTTAAAAGTGAATAGAAAGCAAGAACTTTCTAATCTTTTGTTACTAATTTCTCTCTTTTTACTTTCAGGGGAGACAAGGGAGACAGCATAAAAGCATCGTATGTGCATTATCTGGACCAGCTGAAGAAGAGCGCCACTGTGGGCGAGATCAGCAGAAGGTTTTCCACAAATGAGAATACATTTACTGTTGGAGGGGCCTATGCTGTTGATCATCTCACACTGATTAAAGCAAAGCTCAACAATCATGGGAGGCTTGGAGCACTGCTGCAGCATGAAGTTGTACCAAAGTCATTGCTGACAATCTCTGGTGAGCTTGACACCAAGGCCTTGGACAAGAGTCCCCGCTTTGGATTGGCTCTTGCGCTAAAACCCTAACTGGTTCTTAGCCATTCAATGATGCTTTGAGGATTTGATGCCTTTAAAATTTTTTTGTGGTGATTGAAAAGGGGTGTCAATAAGTAGTTCCACAGATGATTAATATTCATTTCTTGGTTCTCAATGACTCTGGATGGATGATTGATACTTTAGGCTTTCCATGATTCAATATGCAAGTTTCGAGCCGTTTTGACATTGGTACATTAAGCCTCGTTTTATTGAGGATTTCATTTTTATTGGTCAAAAGCTTTTTAACTGTCTTGATTTGCTATTTCAGTTGCCTTCTTTTAAGTTTCTCCAATTCTGTTTTAAGTTTACCGGCTACTTCTTCAAGGCTGAAAAATGGTAGCTGTCAAAATCCAGGTCCGGCGTTGTGTACCGTGGTCGACTAGGCATCATTACCCCATGGACAAGGGCAGTGTCATCAATGAAGGCACTCCCTAGCCTTCTTTCTTTCCTACTCTCCCCATATAGCCTCTTGAGAGATGGTTTTATTCCTACATATCTTCTTTCATCCCTCCCAGTACAAGCTCAGAAATCGTTTCTTGCAACCCAGCGAGCATATAATTTAGTTATATTTCTAAGGATTAAATGTAGATTGCAATGTTATCAAACCACTAAGTTATTTTGAGGACAAAAAGCAGAAGTTAGAAGTGATAAACTTCTGTTGTATAAATTCAGAATAATTCATATTTCCTACAGCAAAAAGAAAACATAACAGTCCAACACCCAGCAAGAAGATAGCTTTGGTTGAATTTTTAAATCATGCACTTGACCAATGCCCTAAAATTGGAAAAGCATAGGTTTCTCATAAACAAGAGAATGCATTTTTGTCTGATTCTAATCATTCAAACTTGTAAGAATAAATCAACGCAATCAAATTTTCAGAATCAGTGTAACTGCTAGACTTCTTTTTTTTTTCTTTTGTCTAGAAAAATGTTTAGAAGGAGGGGAGGTTAGCCCATCTCCAAAGCTCCAAAGCCAGGCACACTGCAATCCTAATTGGTATTTACGGATTCATTATATTTATTCATTACACTTTCACCTACGGATATAGGATTTTTCAGACTTTTCGGACTTTCGGATCAGGGATTCGAACCTGCGTGCCAATGGACCCAGCATTGGCCCCTTATCACTTCTGCCAATCCTCACTGGCGTAGCTGCTAGACTTCTTATACTCAGATTCACATCTTCAAGCAAAATGGATCACTTCGCTTCACAATATTATCAATTCAAAAATGCAACAAAAACACTAAACAAAAACCACCATAAAAATAATTGCAACATGTAGCATTATCAAGTCTACAAAATCCCAGATTCCTCATCGTATTACCGATTGATAACAAAAGCAAAAAAAAAAAAAACACATAAAAGTAAAGTTCAACAGTTGCAAATTATCATAACATGAAAAATAAAAGACAATCTTAATCGACACTCTGCATGATATCCTCAGCGGAAAACTTAGTACCCTTATCCTTATCAGCAGCAGCACGTCCCTTAGCCTTACGATCGAGCAACGACTTCCGATCCTTGTCAAGCCTCAGCTTGGTGATGACAACCTTGGATGGGTTGATACCAACGTTCACGGTCGAACCGTTCACTTTCTCACGCGTTATGCGCTCGATGTGGATCACCCATTTGCGACGGTAGACTTGAACCACTTTCCCTTCGCGTCCTTTGTAGGTCCCACGAACGACTTGGACCTCGTCGTCCTTGCGGACCGGCATGGAGCGGACGTTGTACTTGGACCTCAGATCGGATGAGAGCGGTGCGCTCATTAGCACGCGGCGGACGGAGGAAGGTGCCGAGAAATGGGCCTTGCGGTTCTTGCGGCGAGAAGAGGAGACTCGTGGGTTGTACTTCATTTTTGCTGCAGCGGGTGGGGTTTGATTCCTCTTCGACTCGGCGACGGCCAATGGAGAAAGTGGGGATTTAGGGTTTTGAAAGAATATATAGTGCATAAGTGGGGGAACTACGCTTAATGTAGGATGTATTGGACTTTATGGGTCCAAAGTGTATAATTTTCACTTTTGTGGGTTTTAAAAGAATATTGAGGCCCAACTTTGTTTTGGGTTTTTTTTTTTCTTTTTATCAATTTGAAAAACGATTTATTTAATTTTATTTAATTTTATGTATTGGCATGAATTATATTATATTTTTATATACACTAATAATAATAAATTTCGTGTTAAACATTTTGTGGGTAGAAGAGAAAAAAGTTGGATGAAAGAGAAAATGAATTTTTTCTAATAAATGAAACTAAAGAAAAAAAGATAAATCAATTTAAAATAAATAAATTAATAGGTAAATTTATATATTCTTTATTGTTTATAAATATTTGTATTTGATGTATTATTAATATATAAATGTTATATATTATTAATGTATTACACTCACAACTTGATACAGTCCATATGATATCTAGTGATGGATACAAGATTTTCTTCTAAGATGTCAACTTATTATATATAAAAAGAAATTGTGATGAATTTAATAATTTTATCAACCAAAAAAAAAAAGTTCAAAAAAATTATTATATAGTTTTTTAATATTTAAAAATATCCATAAAAATCTTATATCCCTAATTGTATATCGGTTTGCAATTTTCTCTTTCAACTCTTATTGTACCTAAGATGGATCCTTCAAAGAATAAAAAAATTAACTTTAAGATGTGTTGTAAATAATTTTTTTTAATTTATTTCATTCTTATTAGTTATAATATGCAAAATTAATATAATCGAAATATTTTTAAAATATAATAAAATTTTATTTGCTTTTATCTTATACTTATCATATTAAATCACTAAATATCTTTTGATGTATAAAAATATCAAAAAAAAAAAGTTTCTTGAATTATCACTACTTGGATTATTACAAATGATCTCTTATAATTTATATTTATAAAAATTAAAATTTAAAGTTGTGATTCTTTGATTATATTTGTTTCAATCGAAAGTCACTTATTGTAATAAAAAAAATATTTTATTAATTATTAATACTTATTTAAATAATTAATCTTTTTATTTTAAAAAATATTTTTTATGTTTTTTTTTAATTTATAACTTTTTATGTAAGACAATCGACTGCTTCAAGAAAAAAGTTGGCTTCTCTTTTTTTTTTTTTTTCAGAAAATCGCAAGAAGAAAGTCAATTGACTCAGTTAGCAAGGCAGTTGATTCCACTATCGATCCAGTAAGTTCATAACAATAGAACAGTGTTTCCAAAAAAGCAAAAGAATCGACTGATATTGATTTCAATTTACGGTAGTTGATCGCCTAATCTGGACAATCAACTATTCCTTTGTGCTTTTAAGTTTTTAGACTTTGCTTAGTTTTTGTTTAAGCATAACAGTCGACTCGTTCATTATGACAGTCGACTTCCTCTATGACGACTTAAGAAAGTGGACTCCTTATTATATGATAATCGATTTTTCTTTTTTTTAGATTTTTTAATATACGATAATTATTTTAAATTTTAATTAATTTAAAATTAAGTTAGATCAAATTTAATAAAAAGATAAGATCTTTTAATATCTATTTTTTCATTTATAAAATTCGAAATAAAAAATTTACTTAAAAAACATTGATTGTTTTTTTGAACAATAAAATTATTTTTTTAAATTATTAAAAACTTAATATGATTCCATTTATAATTAAATTTTACTTAATTAAATTATTTTTATATTTTAAAAATATTTTCAACAGTTTTTTCTTATGAATAAAATCATTATTTTTTTCTCTGCTTCAAGATCTCGTTAAACTTGAAATTTTCAAATTTTAAATTATTAAAACATTCACTTAAATTTTTTTTATATAAAATAGATAATAATCTAAAAATAAAACAAATAATTATAGATCTAAAATACAAAACTCAGTCTTTAGTTATAGTGCATTCTCTTACTTAAAAGAGTCAAACAATGATAGTACATCATTAGAGATAAGAATAAATCAGAATCCATACTTCATAGTTTTCACTGGTTAAAGGGTGCAATCTTGATGTCCTGATCTGTGTCTCCTTGCTTCAACTATTGCTTCCTTTAAGACCTTCTCCTCGTGAAGAAATCAATGGCTCATCCTAACCAGGCAGAGCCAGAGGTTGGTAAAGAGAAAGAGTCCATTTTTATAGGATTCCTTTTTTTTTCTTTCATGAATGTAATTTTATAAAGTACAGCTATTAATATTAGCTAGCAAAGTCATTTTTTTTTCTCGTTATTTGCTAAATAATTTGACTTTAAAAGTGTAAACACAAAAATCAATTAATTTTTAAATCAATTGATATATTAATAAAATTAATATTTAAAAATTATAAGTTTGAAAAATTAATGTATATATATATATTCTTTCAACCAAATATACAATAATGTAAAGGTTTAACAAGAAATTAAAAACTTAAAAAAAAATAAAAACACAAAAATAATGATGTGATATATATATAATAATATAAATAATACAAAATTTTAAAACTAAAATTTAATTATATATATATGTATACTTTGAAATTTTATTAAATTCATTTATATAAATAATTAATGACACATTTTTAAATTATTATAAAAAATTAAAAAGATAAAATATATAACAATCTTTTAATTTTGAAATTAAAAATATTTTATTATCGATATATACAAAATAAACTCTTATATATTTTAAAAAAAGATCGTGCATTGAAAATTAATCATATTAATAAAAAATATATAAATTTAAAATCAAATTTATAAATTCAAGTGATAACCAAAATTATCAATTGTGTCAAGCTTTAGTTGATGTATATCGAAAATCTTTAGCATTTTCAGCATTGCAATTAAATTATTGTCAACATGTATAATAAAATTTTTTATACATAGGATGTCATAATAGATAATAAAATAAAATATTGTATATGTTAATATTTAAAATTTAAAATTACTAAATATTAATTTTAAAAAATAATTATATAAATTAATTAAAAAAGTTTCAATTTCATATAATGATTTATTTAAACATATCGATTTTTCATCTCAAATATGGTTTTCATTGATCATCTCATGCAACACATGCTCCAACTTGCTCTCTCATGCAGGATTTCAAAATAGGATACTGTTAAATGCATCTCAATTTTTTCCCTTCACACAACAAATATTTTTTTAAAAAATATTTATAAATAAAATTATTTAATTATCATTTTTTTCACCTAAATTTTGTAAAATTAATTTTTAAAAAATTATATAATTTTAAAATTTACAAAAAATAATTAAATAATTTTATTTATAAATTTTTTTAAATTAAAAGATTAAAAGAAAAAAAAAGAGTGCATCTAGTACCACTCTTTCAAAGTACAAGATCTCAATTGCTGTCACAGAGATCACTCGTAATCATATGCAGTTTGTTTTGTCGAGTGGATTAGACCCAGCTGCCTGCAAAAGCTGCCTTCTTGTTTTTTAAAGCAACGCTCATTGTCACCAAGACTCTTCAGATATGCACCCAATCATTCATTTACTTGCAAGTGAGTATATCCCGTTTTTAAAAAGTAAAAATGTTACGTTTGAATCTTCCCTTTAGATAAACAATTAAATTAGATTTGATAATATATATTTATATTATATTTGTGTTTATATATATTAAATATATATAATATAAAAAATTATTATTTTAAATTTTAATTAATATGTTTAATAAAATTTTTATTAAAATTTTAAATTATATCAATTCTTTTATATTGCTATCTTTTGTTAGGTCCCAAGCACGTCAGAATCCTTTTATTATTTCTTTTTACAAGACAACACAATTGGAGCAGGCACGCGTTCACTGACATACACATTCCAAACAAAGGGTTGCTTTATTTTTTTGCCTGTAGCATCGACCTGGTTTGGTGGTACCAAACACTGCTGCCACTGACCAAAAATGGCAACAATAATGAAAGAAAGAAAGCTGAAAACCTTATCAAATTATTGCATCCGTGCATGGAGTGCGATTGTATGACAGTGATGAGAGCGCACACCAACCACACTGACACCAATTGTCTTGGCTCGCAGGCTGCAAAGGCCGGAGCCACGCCCAATGGTATGGTTGCTAGACTTTGATCAACTTCAATTCTCTTTTCTTTTCTTCGGTTTCTAAACAATGATTCCCCCATCAAATTGGGATATATATTTCTGACATCACAATCACATGGCCAAGCTATAATCTATGGATAATTTTTTTTTTTTTATGATGTATGATTAAAGTATGAATTTGTTACCTTTATCTATTTGGTCAATAAAGTCAGCTTTTTGGATCGATGCATATTTAATTGTCACGTTATTTAGTTTCAAGAGCTGATTCGTCTCTCATAAAAAAAGGATTCATCCAATATTTCATTATCATTTTAAAATTGAACCCTTAATTTTTAATTTATCAAAAATTACTAAATGTTGCTTATATTTATATGTGATTATTAAATACAATTCTTAATTATTTACATGAATCATTTTTTAGTTTCACATAAATTTACTATTAATTATTAATTATCTCAATTAAATCATTATTTTTCGTTACATATATAAAATAAAGAGCAGGCTTGGGCATGTAAAACTTAAGCATTCTCCTTCAATTATAGTTTTCTCAATATACTTCACTTTCTTCTTGTTTAAAACATCTTAGTGACTTATGCGTTGGAACATATTCTAAAAAACCAACTTCGGCATCCCCTAACCTTGCTTTTTGGTTGTAGGTCTATGTTATCTTACCTTCAATCTCCAACCAATTTCCTTCCAAATAAAGGTTTATTTAGATGAGTGATATGATTGATTTTAATGATATTGAAAATTACAATAATGGTAAGATGAGTAATTGTAGTGATAATATTAAAATTAATTGTAAAATATTTGTTTTGATGCAAAAGCAATATAACAGTGAAATGAAGTGTAATGAGAATAGAAAATGTCCACTAAATACATTATACTAAAATTTGTTGTTTTTATTATTTATATAATTATATATTATTTTTAAACCATATTAACTATCAAGTATTTAATTTTTTATTAAATATTTATTTGATTATAAATTTTAGTATTTTATTTTATTTTTAATTATTTTTATTACATAATTATCATATTTTATTTATTATATGGAATTAACAAAGTTTTTTTTTAATTTAAATAAAATAAAAATAAAACAAAACAAAAACTAGAAAATAAAAGGTTTAAGGGTTAAAAAAAAGAAAAAAGAAAACAAGGGTTTAATTGGAAAAAAAAAAAAAAACAGAGGACAGTGAGTTTTTCCACTGGAGCCTTGCGCTCTTATAAAAAAAATACATCTGGTGCCACAAAAAAGTAGCCTTTCTTGCAACCTATATGGATGGCCAGTGCAGTTGGAGGTTTTATACAATTAAGGCTTTATACACCCAATAATTTAATCAACAGTTTGGTATTTGATTTATGCTAATTAATTTAAACGAAAAATTTTCACCTTTTTATTATAATGTGAGATTAGTTTATAAATTTTATATAATCACTTATAAAAAATAATTTTTAAAATTTTTAAAATTTGAATTTTAACGCTCATAATCTTTTATGATATTCTTAGATTAGGATTTTTATTATAAAAAAAAACATAAATTTTGGTTATTCCAACTCCATTGAACAATTTTAAATACATGATCATGGTGATTGAAACATTGTTTATACATATAACAGATAATGGGAATTTTGTCACATCTAATCTAATTCATTTGGTAAGAAGAATATAAGAGTAATATTAATATATATATATATATATATATTCATTCATTTTACCATGAATGTTTGCATGCTTGACTTGTTTGTAATTAAAAAAAAAAAAGAATATTTACTATATTTTACATATAAACACTTTATTATAATTTAATACTTTTTAATGGCAAAAAGAAATGAAAGAAATTAAGATAAATTAAAGATATAGAAAAAACTTGTTTTAATTATGAAGTATCTCAAAGTATAAATATTACTACATTAAACTTGAAATAGAATAAATATAAAAATGAATAAAAATACAAATGAATCAAATTATTCACGAACTACTCAGAATTTATTTTTCATGAATACTCATATTCAAATTAAGTTTGATCTTAAGCTATTCAAATAATAAGTTAAATTCTAAACTTTTAATACTCAATATAAGTGGCATGATATTCATGGAGTTTTTAAATTGTTTGATATTATGTACATAAACAAATGAAATATAATATTAATTTATACATCTTAAAATTATATTCAAAATTTTTTATTTTGAATTTAAATGATAACTCAAAGTCTTATAATGATAATAAAAATTAAAATCTAATCAAATAACTCAATTGAATTGAAATCGAACAAAAAAAATTGTTCATCTCAAGCATTAAGTATTTTAATTAAATTGAGCTCAAGCATGACAAGTTTGGCTTAATTACAAATCTAACAGTGATAATTTTTACTAAACATTTTTTTATACATATCTTAATTAACAAACTTCATTTAATTACACTTATTATTATTACAAATTTTATTTAATTTGCACTTAAGTAAATTTTTAAAATTTTAATTTATATTTAAATTTTTTAACATAAATTAATTTTTATTTAAAAAATTTTAAATATAATAAAATATAAAAATTTTATTTTAAAAAATAATTCAATGATTTTTTTAACAAAACTTTATAGCTTTAATGTTTAATGTGTAATGAAAGGTGATTATCAAAATAATAAAAAAAAATCTAATTATTACTTTTTTTATAAAAAAATTAATAGGAATCATTTATCCTTGCACCCGCGTCAGCAAAATTATAACCTGACGTAGATCTTCCTTTCAGGTTACCACAGACAACCCCACGCCCAAAAAGGCGCGTGAACCACAAAACCAAACCAAACCGGGATGCAGTCGCTCTTGCCAAAAAATAAATGTTGGAATTACAGCTGGAATCAATTTTAATTATTTAAAAAAAAAAAAAAACCCTAGCTAAAACTCCTTCCACGTCAGCTTTCAATCCATCTCTCTCTATATATAAATCAGGAAATCAAATCATTTTGCAAAATTAAAATGGTAGAACTCAAGGCGGTACGGCCGGCGATTTCTTGTTATTTTTCCGGCGTGGAGAGTGGTCCGGCTGCACCTTTTCGCAAGGTTGGCTTCCTGAAGTGGCAGATGCCGGCGCTTTCGCCTTCTTTGGGGTTGAGTTGTGGCAACAATGCCAGGTTGAGCTTGGTTCAGGCGACGGAGGAATCGACAGTTTCGATTGCGAACGATCGTGCTTCTGTTATATCTGGTACGTAGGTTTTTTTATTTTTTATTTTTATTGGTGATCAAGTGTTTAGTTTTCTTTTTCTGGTCAAGAATTTGGTTCAGGTGTTATTTTTTTCCTTATAGCCTTATAGGTGGAAAAAAATTAAAAATAAAAGGAAGTCTTTGGGTACAGCCAAATGTGGCAACTTAAGCTGGCTTGGATTTGGTTTTAACTTTTAAGTATTTTCGTATCTTTGGCCATTTCATTTGGAGTTTTTTTTTTATTTTATTTTTTAAATTTTGGTAGGGAGGGGAAGGACTAATCAGGTTGACTTTTGAAGTTTTTTTCAGCTTAATTGGATTGTAGACTTGAAAGCATTAACATTTTTGACTCTGCTCTAACTGGTTCTAGTTCTACTCTATTAGACTGTGGCGCCTACTCTTACTTATCTTGATGAGGGTCTTAGATTCTAGATAGCCTCAATGAGGGGTTACCGGTGCTGAAATCTAAGATTACTTATTACCAAAACGGACGAGCTAACCCCTCTCTAGAATATCTAGTATCTACTGTTGTACCTCTCATGGTCTTAAGAATGTCCTATGTGCAAGAATAAGAAGTTTAACGGATAAGTTGGGGATGAAGAAGTTAAGCCCCAGACTTTATTTTTGACATTTGGTTGCCTAGCTTTTAGGTTGTGCCTGACAGCTATCACCAAATTTTTTGTCCTTGATGGGTGTTCTTTATGGAGTTCCAGCCTTGAAGTCATCAACTTTCCTCTCTGCGTATATCTTCAGTGAAACCTGGAGGTTGGCCTTGAAAGCATAACTGGTTTTGGCCCGGTAGAATTCCTAGACAAATTTTATGGAACGGTTGGGATCCAAAATCACGTATTTCAGATTGAGATTGAGGTCTAGATAACAACCACAACATGGCTTCATCTGAAACTATAACTATTTTTCAAAAAAAGAAAAGTAATTGATAAAAATAAATCCTTTGCTTATAGTGGCTTCTTGTTCTTTAACAATGACAGTGCTGATAATAAATCAACTGGATACATCTGAATCCCTAAACATCAGCCTTTCTAATTGGACTATTTATTTTGTAGTCTCTTTAGATGTTGATTTATTATGGTAGATGGCTTTCTCATTGTGTGGGACATTGTTCTATAATGTTGTATGAAAACTTTGGCCATTCCGTGGAATTAATTTGTGGCAATGACGACTGTGCAAAGTCATGATTTCTTTAGTATATTGTTTCTTTCGGGCTGGATCTACTTAGAGTTCTGATTTCAAACGTCTAACTAGGTGAAAATCTCCGCCAGATGGCTACTAATGGGAAGGCAACGAACATTGTATGGCACAAAAGTTCAGTTGGTAAACTTAATCGGCAAGAGTTACTTGAGCAAAAGGGTTGTGTCTTATGGATTACGGGTCTCAGTGGCTCAGGTTTGTTAGAGCAAATTATGTGGATACTGAAGTTTATGCTAATCTTTTTATTGCCATTAACTTATTTCTTGTTTTCTATGTTCCATGAGTATATAGATGGCTTCTTGAGCTTATGATGTGCTTTAGTAGTCTTTTTTATGTGCTAAAAGAGCAAAAAAAAGTTGCTACGTGCTGAACCATTGGCCTTTTGGTTGTGGAGGAACTTGTAAAATCAAAATCAAGAACTTAGGGCAACAACCTTTCGGATATTACTGAGTGCCTTCCTTGTGACCATACAGGATTCTTTGTTCCTGTTCGTTGTTAGTTTCTCCTTGCTAAACTGAAGAATGTGTTCAAACATTATCCGTTTATCCCATTGTGTCGCACCCTCTCTCTCCCTTTCTCTCACTGTGGTCTATGAATATAGGAAAGAGCGCTTTGGCATGTGCTCTGTGCCAAGCCTTGTATTCAAGGGGAAAGTTGACTTACATCCTTGATGGTGATAATATTCGGCATGGTTTAAACCGTGACCTTAGTTTTAAAGCAGAAGATCGTGCAGAAAACATACGAAGGATTGGTAAATGCTGTTTGGTACCTCATCATAGTCCTCTTCTGCTTTATCCTTTCATTCTCTTCTTCTGATGGTTTCATCTTTCAACTTGTTATGATTCATACAGGAGAGGTAGCAAAGCTCTTTGCCGATGCTGGCATCATTTGCATTGCCAGCGTGATATCTCCCTACAGAAGAGACAGGGATGCATGTCGTGAACTGTTGCCAGAAGGAGATTTCATTGAGGTATGTGCTACCTTTCAGAAACATGAAATCTGAGGGCTTTGATCTTATTTGTGATTTCTACTAAGAGGAAAGGGCTTCTGCATCAGACAAAGGTTCTTTATTATTGCTCTTAGAGAAAATTAACTGGGCAATACTTTGGACAGGTGTTCATGGATGTGCCACTCCAAATATGTGAGGCGAGGGACCCAAAGGGCCTGTACAAGCTTGCAAGAGCTGGAAAAATTAAAGGTGTCTGTTCTCCCAGATTCTGTATCTGCAGTTTGGTTTAAGCTCACATTTTTAGAGTAGCTTATGTAGTATTTTTTTCTGTAGGTTTTACAGGCATCGATGACCCATATGAACCACCTTTGAATTGTGAGGTATGTATATCATTGGGGTAACATTTTTGTTTGGCATAGGCTTGTACTTGTTTAAAACTGGAACGCACCTAAATATTGTTTATGTTCCAAAAATGAAATTCAGCTGACACAAATCTTTAAATGGTTTTAAGCATGGAGAGGCTTAGTTGGTAGTGTGCTTGTGGATGGCTATGGCTGTATGAGATGATAGATATCCTGTCATGGTTCAGTGTCTGATATTGGCTGCCACATTTCTAGTCATCTAAGTCTGAACATGACAAAGCCATACTTAAGACTAAATTGCATGACTGTGGAATCCCTACATATTCAAAATGGCAAGGCATTCCACTTCTTTTAGTTTTCTATAGATCTCATGTCCCAACATTTAAACTGAAGCATCAACTCCTTTTTTTTTTTTCAGTTGGTGTTACCACAAAAGGGAAACGACTGTGCTTCCCCATGTGAAATGGCCGAAACTGTGATATCTTACCTGGAGGAGAAGGGGTACCTGCTGGCCTAAGAAGCCCTGCAATTCCTGGTCACCATAATCACCTGTGATATGGTGAGAGCAAATCAATGAAAATTGATTTTCTAAATTAAGGAAATTTCTCGTTTCCTGCACTCGGAAATTTCTTGTTTCCTATTTCTATATCCTGTTTCTGGCATCAGGGAAACTTCTTGTTTCCTGTATCTGTAGTTTATGTCCTGTGTTAGATAATTAATCGCTTGATTAATTAGTGTCAGTTTCCTTTACTAGGCTTTCCTAAAGTCAAGTTAGGTGTTATTGGCTTTAGTTACTTCGGGAGCAAAAAATAAAGATGGACTGAAGGTGGTAAGTTATTGGTGTATGAGTTTGTATCATATAGCATAGTAATGATTGCTTATGAATAAAAGGCTATCTCTGGTTTTCGCTGAAAGATACCCTTAAATATGTACATTTCTTCCCTGCTCTTTCTAGTAAGTACAGATTTCGCATTTAGCCTAATGATTCCTAATCAAGCAAATGTCAAAATACTAGCACAGAGAATTAGGGACAATTTGCAGCTAGATCAACCTTGGATATCCTGCTTTGGGGTGCAATTATTTGTATTTATTTTATCTCTAATTTTTATAAAATATAAAAATTATCGTATTAGAATTTATTTTAAAATATTAAATATAAAATATATTTTTTTAATTTTTATTAAATTTTTATTTGATTTATATTAAAATTTTGAATTATATAATTTTTAGTCGTAACTTATTTAAAGTTATCAGATTTATTCGAAGAGAATATTTAAAGAAAAAGGAAAAATCAAGGTGCAGGTCAAGCTTCTGATTATTCCTGGCTATTGAGTTTCGGAAGGAAATGTGCAAAACGTTTTGCGGGGAAGGGGTATCAGACATGAGTGTCATGATAAAGTAAAGAAGCAAAATATCTTGCTGAGGATAAGAATCTGGAAAGATTCAATCATGTCGTAAAATATCTTGCTGAGGATAAGAATCTGGAAAGATTCAATCATGTCGATTATGTCGGTTGACTGACGTATGAGATTCAAAGCACTAATAATGAGAGTTCATCCAGCTCTGAAAATATCTGCTTTCTTGCCTTATCCCCAAGAAAACTTTGTTCAAACCAGCGTCATGTTTGTCAGAAAAACAGTCATTCTCTGACACAAGCAAATTGACTTGATGGATTGGTTTAACCCAAATGTGTGTAGTATAGTAGGTTTCTAGATTTGAAACCAAACAAACAAAAAATACTAAAAATAGGTCCATTTGCCTGGTATGTACTTTACATGTCCGGTATCCTTCAAAATTATCTCACCCTTCCTTTTTTTTTTTATCTACTTGCACATAGAACTGGTAATTTCATTGCTTGGAAAATTCTCAAAGTACTGCAATAGTTTGACATTTAGCATGCACACTGCAGCTTGGAAATAAATACATGAATGGATGAATTTTGCTAAAACTTATTAAATTATTTGCCAAAATAAAATGAAACTCGAGTTGACGATTTTTATAATTACTCTTAAACAGCAAATTTATAATTCAAAAGTTAACTCTTACAATCACTTATTATATGTATATATATATATATATATATGGACACCTTAAAATTTTAAGAATGAAAGGAGAAGGGAATGAATATCAAATGAAAGCAAGATCAAACTCTGGCCTTGTATGCCCATGAATGGACAAGAAGCAGACCACAAGGGCCATGGTCATGGAAACAGCAGCTGAACTCACAGCATCAAAAGTTGCAGAGAACCGCCTCTCTTGCAGACCCCAAAGCGTCCTAACAAGCAATCCCATGCCATCAATGATCATTGCCAGCACCAGAGCCATCTTCAAAAATAAAAGAAAAGAATATAAAGGAATGAGCTGAGAACTCTTAGATAATGCGAAGCAACCAGACCTAACTATATTGATCAGAATTCAGAAGCTCTCTTTCTCCTAGAAAAAGGTGTTCAAAAGAGACTCGAAAAGTGCGCATTGCAGCTGAAGAAAGATGGTGGTGGGTAGAGGGATTGAGTGATTGAGACTGCCGTCTTTTTTTTGGCTCTCATGATAAAATAAAGGCAGTTTCATCATTCATCATTATTGTTCCAAGATGACAACTTGTAGGTAAAGAGGAAAAGCCGCTGCTTCCACGAAGCTTCCCATTTTCACCTGATCCTATGGTTTTGCTATTTGTGATATTAACTCACAACAGGGCCTGGATTTTGGAAGCAAATGGTTAACGGATTCAATAAAGCTCAATACAACCAAATTTGTTTGGTGTTAATGAAATGATGCATCCTCAGTTATTGAACTTGCTTCATCTTTATTTCTTTAGGTTTCCTATTTCTTTTGTTATGTAATCGCAAAAAATTAAAATTTGCTTTCAAGAAATTTTAATTAGATTCAGAAATAGATTACTAAAATAGAAGGATGATGAAAATACATGAACTTTTTTGTTTCCTCCAAAAACGTCAAGGTAGTTGAATTTGACAGCCCAAGAATTACAAGTATGTCATTTATACTTGGTTTGGATGAACTGTGGGAAGGGATTTTTAAGACATCATCACGTGACTGAACCATCAGTCACCCAAATGAAGCAATTATCTAATACAGTTGCAAAGTATGTAACATAACATCAATCCGACCTTTTTCTAGGATTGTTAACCAGATTGAGTTAGTTGAATAAATTGGGTGTGGGCGGCTTCCATTTTTTGCCCTGTTGGATGACATTTGCTCTTAGTCATCATTCTTGATTCATCAAGGGCTCCATTATTGTTTCCCTACCTTCTCTTACAAGCCAATTTCTTGGCTAGGTCTCGGATGATCATATCTTTCCTTTATTTGCTTGGTAATTCAGCATGAATAATGTAATCCTCTCAAAATCTTGTATGACAAGGGTGTCTTCATTATGACCTTCTTCAAAAGTCTACCCTTGTAATTAAAAGAGTTATTATTAATCATGTTAACATGATTGTTACTTCATTGATGCTTCATGTAATTGTCAAATCATCCAATGTACCTCAACTATGAGGAGCTTAAATCATCCCATTTGAAAAATAGACTACTATAGAACATTTAAAATTACATGTAAAATACAAGAAATATGATATCAGTCGTAAACAAGAAAAAGGAGGTGGGAAATCACAAATTATCGATTCATTTGATAATTGGTAATTCCCAATCACAAGTTATTTTTTTCCCATTCACTAAACTTTGGATCTAGAATCAACCGCCTGATGTGTTAGCAACAGAGACAAGGAAATAATAGGTTGAACAATACAGATTGATCTGTACATGGTAGATCATTCTCCAAGTGGCAGCAAGAGATGGCAATGAGTGAAAAATGTACTTACGTATGTCGTCAATTACTATCCCAGAAGAACTTTTGAATAATTTAACTCTCACTTTCATTTACCAGACAATCATCATCTGGGACATTACTGGTATGACATCCTTTACTACCACTAAGGTCCTCTCTAAGATGTCGCCCAAAAGCTGTTGTGCCTGCTTATGATTTTTATCAGTTAGAAAACAAAACAAGACAGCAGAAGTGTTCAAACAGCAAAAAATTAGACTCCCAGGAACTAAAGTTGATGCCAACTTATGGAAAAATAACAGTTTTTCTTTATGGGATATATCAAATCATTATCTGAGATCAACAGGGAATCCAAAAGTTCAGATTTTTTAAGTTGATATCAATCCAATTATTTGCAAAACTACCAAGACAAGCTAATGCTAAAAGAACAAAGATAGAAACATGGGAAAGCTTGGGAAGCCTAGCTAAATTCCCTCCAATGCCGGATTAAAAGAGAGAAAATCTCAACACTTCTCGGGTTTCTGTTTTTACTCTCCTTCATCAGCATCATCACCTGTATCTGGGGTTGAATGGGAAACAAGGTTGTTTCTCGTTGCTGTGGAGCTGTTGGAGAAGGAATCGTTGAAACCGTTACCGATGAAAGTGGAGGTGGTGGTGGCGACTATTGATTGAATGGCAGCCTTCCACTCTGCATCGCCGTCTTCTTCCCCACCGCTGCTGCTGCTGCTACTGGTTGGACTTGGACCTCAAATCGCTAAACCCACAATCATCGCCGCTGGCATTTGCCATTCGTTGGTGGTGCCATAAGCCCTGTAGGGGAGTTACGGAATTGGGCTCTTTCGGCCTTCTTCGTGTATTTGACCGATTCTGGTTCTTATCATTGGCAAAATGGGCCAGAGGGGATGGGAGGAAAAAATAGTTTTAAATTATAAAAAAGAAACATTTAAAATATAAATAAAATTTAGAAATATTAAGATAAAACATGAAAAGGAACATAAAAACAAAGGCCCATTTTTTAAACGGGCGTCAACTTGGGCCGTCTTGCAGATTCAAATCGGAACCGGCAAACGCGGAACTCACCGTTTCAAACGGTCAAAGGTCAAAACCTCAATCCAATTCCATAAACCAATCGCTCTAATCAGATTCAATCCCCGGCAAAGCATAAACCCTACCGATCTCGCCAAACTCAATTTCAAATAAAATTCCTACAAAGCAAGGCTATTAAAAACCAGAAACCCTAAAATTGAATCGTCCTAGAAAAGCTCGCGAAGATGGGGAAGAAACAGCACAGCAAAGATCGAATGTTAATAACGAAAACGGAGTGGGCCACCTAGTGGGGCGGCGCTAAATCCAAAGAAAATCGCACCCGTTCAAACGCCTCCCTTCTATTGATGCGCGTATGCCTCACACTCCAGTCCCACATTTATTTAGATTTTTATTAAATTCATTCTTATTTACTTGCAACATTTTAATTTTCCTTTTTTTTTTTTTTATGGGTTTTCCTATTCGGTCTTACATTTGCGTCGTCTGAGTTGCCGGTATATACAAAGGATGGCAGTGTCTTCGATATAATGTTGCTATCTTTTTATTTTTATTTGTTACGGATTTTAAGCTTTGATTTTTTTAGTGTAATTTAGGGTTTGATTTTTATTGTTTTCTGTTGCATGAATGTAATTCCTTATGTTAGGAACTATGGGAAGAATCCGGTTACTGGGGCTCCATTGAAGCAAGAGGTTCTTTTCCCTCTTACTATCCTCAAGAATTCTGAAGGCTAGAGATATTTTATGAACAAATTTGTATTCTTAATAAGATGAACCAATATAGTACTTGACAAGTGTACGTATATTGCCACTGTCATGTTCTAGCCAAGCATCTTAAGATTTAGAAGTAAAGTTTGTAGAGTTTATATTGAAAGGGAATACTTGTTTATTATATAGATTACATTAATGCTTTCTAGATTCTTTTATCAGGTGCATGAGATTTTTGGAGGATGTATTCTTTGATGTGATGCAGCTGTGTAAACAAAGTTTTGGTTTTCTATCCTTTACTTGACTTATAACTTTTTCAACAAGGTCAAACTTGAGTCTGCGCTTCTTTTTTCAGCTATGGCATGCAAATTCTGGATGTTACACAGTTAACTTGGGTTTGGTTTGCAAAAACAAAACCTTGGATGGGCTGTTGTATTGTTGATGTTATCTTTAGCGTTATTCTCATTTTCTCTAAGAACAAGCCTATGAAGAATGCAAGATCT